TTCTGGAAACGAAACACTATTTCCTTCTGAGAAATAGCTTCTTGTTGTACATTAATACAATTCTGTTGAAACTCAATCGGAAAGGTGAGCCGGAAACGATCACGGGAAGCGAAGCTTGCCGGACAAGGTACGATGTGCCGAGGGTAATCAAAGGCCCTTTAGGCTGCCTCGTGTCACTTGTTTTAGAGTTGTGCCTGACATATGGTAGCCACAACGAGAACTCATAAGACTTTTTTAGATTTTTTTCAGTAGCAGCATTTTGTCTCAGTATTATAATATAAAAATTGAAGTTTACATTTCACTAGAGTTCATACATTTCTTTCAAAAGTTATCAAAATAAACTTCATCTCGTAACTCTTAGCCTGGGATGTGTTCTTGGTATGGTGGTAAAAAACGTTCCTATAAAAAGTTTCTTTCAAAGAACGGAGATTACTAGAAGAGATTATCATCCCACATTGTTTATGCGGGAATTTTTATAGAAAGAGCACGGTTTCTAGGGGTATTTGGGATAAATACCGCGAGTGATATTTCAAAATTCATCAAAATATCACAAGCCGCCTCGGCGAGCGATATTTGGGGAGTTTTGAAATATCAGGAGTCGGTATTTTTCCGCAATACCCCGACGAAACCGTGCTAGTTTTCCTTTATACTACAAGGCAAATAAATGTCGCATTTTATGCCACACTTATTTTTATTTAGTCACGCGCAATTGATTGGCTTTACAACTACCTGTGATTAAACATGTGATCGCTTAAACATCACATATAGTCACACATCACACAACTGTGATGAAACTGTACTCAAATGTCTGTATATCTCAGTTCTAAAGAGTGAAAGTTTTTAACAGGCTTATCAATCAAAGTATAACAATCATCTGCAATCGATTCCGCCTGTGGAACATTGCATCTCTGTTCGGGAAACTTTTGGCTACGCTGGTAGTTGATGGTCACTTGACAGCCGTGGAAATTATTGATTCTCATCAACCGCTCTTCACTCATCATTAGC